TTATTAGATACACCCTCAACCAAAAATCTCACAAACCTAAACCCCCAGTCCCTAAAGCCCCCCAGCCACAACAGTGTGAATTCCTCAGGGAGGTGCCAGTCTCATCCTCTTGTTCCTCCCACATGGTTCTGGCAAGCTAAGAAAATGTTTATCTCCCTGAGCTTGGCCTTCATAATTCCATTCCATCACACCTCCCTAATCACTACTGATTGGAAGCAACCCTGGAAAAAGGAGGCAAACCAGCACAATACTGTGTTGCCCACCCCCAATTCTCTGAGTTGGTCCAGAAGGATACCATAGTCGATGGTATCGAAAGTCGCTGAGAGGTCAAATAAGGCACGGAGGGATACACAACTACCATCTCGCCCACACCAGAGATTATCCAAAAGCATGTTCAATGCTGCTTCTGTACCATACCCAGGTCTGAAGCCTGACTGAAAAGGATCCAGATAATCCACTTCATCCAAGGTCCTCTGAAGCTGCTGCGCAACCACCTTCTCAATCACCTTCCCCAAAAAAGGGGAAGTTGGATACTGGAAGAAAGTTGTCCAGTATCGTAGTGCCCAGCGATGGCTTCTTGAGGAGGGGGTGAGCCAAAGCCTCCTTTAGAGGTGCAGGAACCACTCACTCAAAGAAGAGTTCATCATCGCCAGAATCCACCCACAGGATACCCCCCAGGCTGTTTTCACAAGCCAGGAGGGGCATGGATCTAGAGAGCAGGTGGCTGAGCTCAGAGTCTTAAGGACCCTGTCCACTTCATCAATTCCAACAGTTCAAACCATTCCCAGATAACCAGGCAAGACTCCAGCCTAGGCATCTCCCACAGACCTGCAGCAAAGCCAGTGTCCAACTGCGAATGAATCCAAGTGATTTTATCCGACAGATGCTGAGCAAATTCTTCTGCACGACTCTGCAAAAAGTGGTCCAGGCCCCCTGTACCCAAGAGGACCTGTATCACCCAAAACAGAGTTGCAGGGCGGCAATCAGCAGATGCAATAAGGGCAGAGGAGTGTTGTCGCTTCACCGCCCTTACCGCCACTTGGTAGGCCTTAATAGCAGCTCTAATCAATGTTCGGTCGAGTTCATCCTTAGACAAGCACCAGTGATGCTCTGGACGTCTCTTCTTTCGTTTCACCTCTCTCAGCTCCTCTGTAAACCACAGGGAGTGATGGGATCCACAGGAGGGGAGAGGTCGCATAGGCGCAATCTGATCCAAAGCCTCAGCCGCCCTTTTATTCCAGGCAGCAATCAAAGCTTCAGATGGGCTGTGCAGCAGACCAGAGGGAACCCCCCCAGATCCCTCTGGAACCCCTTCAGGTCCATCAGTCGCCAGGGATGGACCAATCTAATGGGTCCAGCCTCCCTGCAGTGGATAACAGTGCCAGAGAAACCCATGGTGATCAGGGCATGATCTGACCATGACAAGGGGGACACCAACAACTCCCTCAATTGCAGATCACATAGCCACTGCTCTAACAGGAACATCAGACCTGGTGTGTGACCACTGTTCTGTGTCAGGCTCTGGATGACCTGGGATAGGCCCGTGGCTGTCACGGTGGCCATGAACTCCTGAGCCACCTCAGATCCCACTCCCACAGAAGGCAGATTAAAACCCCAAGACCATAAGTTTGGGGAACTCCACCGCCAACTCGGAGATGGAATCAAGCAGCTTAGGCAGGGAGACTGCTATGCAGCAGGAGGCTGGTATTTATCTATTTTAATTAATGTTTATTCTGTTTTTGCTGTAAACCACCTAGAGTCACTCTGCAGTGAGACAGGTGATGACAAATTTGAAATATAAATAAGATATAAATAAATAGCAACAGTCCCAACTGATCCCTAGAGCCCAACTTAATGAACAGGGTCTTATATCCAGTGACCTGCGGGGCAGCACTCCTGAAAGCTGAAAGCGATTCTCAGATGACAATTGCCATACCACCACCCCTGCCCTGGGTCTTCGGCTGGTGCCACACTCAAAACCCAGCTAGGCACATCTCTGAGAGGGATGCCCCCCTTTCCGGGCCCAGCCAGGTTTCAGTAGTACATGCCAGGTTGGTCCTCTCATCTGTAATCAAATCATAGATGAGGGAGGCCTTATTACAGACCAACCTGGCATTTAAGAACAACAGCTGGAAGCCAGGGCCTCTGACGGTCTGCTGACCAGGTATAGTGGTTGAGACCAAGGAGCTGAAACGTGGAACAGGTATAAAACATCAGTCCCACATTCCCTGGGGGCAGCCCGCTCGTCTGCCACCATATCTCCCCAGGCCCGTCACCACCATTATATTATGGTCTGTGCAGATCTCCCCGGTGGCCACATCATCTTTTCCTTCAGGACCCTCAATTCCAGAGGCCCAGGGGTTCCCATAACAATCAATTACACCCATCCCCTGGGAGGGGGAAACCAAGCACCCTGAGGTACTTCAGCTCTACTGGCTCTCAGCACCTTCAAGCACCTGGCGCCCACCTCCGCCCACTCTAGAACAAGCACACACACACATTTCCACAGAAACACCCAACCTGATACTCAAGAGCCCCCCTCCTTGCCACTCTCACCCACTGGTAATAGTTTCCTTCTCATCCACCTCACTAAATCAACTCCCTCCTCAGGCTCTCACCCTGAGAAGGGAAACATGCAATGCAGGTTTCAACATGCAGTGCATTTAGCAAGCAGTTATTACAGTGCTATATAAATGTCTGAATACCTGCAGTATTTATAATCAGATTCCTCTTTGCTTGGATTTTTATTATTTGTATTTTTGGTTGCTTTTAATGTCAACAGCCTAGAGTCACTAGAGTAGGTGACCATATAAACTGAATACATTAAAGAATGATTAGAAAACGAGAAGCTATGATGAATGAAGAGAGATGAAGCTTGTTTAGGGTTTTTTTTTTTTTTTTTAGGTTTAAAAATTTATTATTTTGCACCTGCAACTTAGTACGAAATCACATAGTGGTGTTCGTTACCTCAAAAAGTTGCTGGGCCTGATATACTGCAAGGAGAAAATAGAATTGAGCTGATTCTTATTAGATTTTTATCCCTTTTTAAAATATACTTTAAAAATATATTAAAAATAAATTTTAATATAAATTTAATATATATTTGATCAAGTCAAGGCGGCAAACATACCTAATATTCCTGCCTCCTATTTTCACCAGAACTGAGAGAGAATGATTGGCCCAAAGTCACCCAGCCGCCTTTCATGCCTAAGGGGGGGTCTAGAACTCACAGTCTCCTGGTTTCTAGGCCAGTACCTTAACCACTACACCAAACCAGCTCTCTAGGTACTGGTGCTCATTTCATTTCCAGGTCTGATATCCAAATATAAGGTTCGCTATGTGAATAAAATATCAACAAATTGAACTGATTTGGACAAATTTGAGAGATATCTCAAAGCAGAATTCCGTACAACAGACCAAATCTGAACTTGAATTCACCTGAAGCTTTCGTTAAGGACTTAGAGATGTGCAGCGATCCCAAGACA